TAAACAGATTAAATCCATCCTGTGCAGCAATGCGGATGGAACTGGAGATCATATTGTAAAATAAGCCAAGTGTAGAGAGAAGTATCACATGATCGTGTTCACAGATGGAGTTTGAAAAAAATGTGACTTCACTGAAGATAAAGGTATAGTGGTGCTTACCAGAGGCTGGAGAGAAAAAAAGGAGAGACAGGCCAGTAAACGTTGATTAATAACTACTGAAAGGTTATAGCTACATAGGAGAAAGAAGCTCTGGAGTTCTATTGCACAGTAGGATGACACAGATAATAGTGATATTCTGTTCTATTTCTCTCTCTAAAAAAATTTAAGATAAAATTTTGAATGTTTTCACCATAAAAAATTAAACGTTTGAGGAGCTACATATATTGACCCCTGACAGGACATTGCACAATATATACATTTACTGAAACATCAATTGGCACCCCACAAATGTGAGCACTTTTCCTGTGTCTGTTAAAAAATGAAACAATATTTTTAAGAAGTTATCACATGTATCAACAAAGCCATCTGGAGTCGGTCAGGTTGCAACCTTTCCAATGTAAGTAGAAAGTGCTATTTAAGTTGTTTTATGAAACTGAGTTGAACATCCTCAGGTAGAAAAGGGCACTAGTTGAAATTCTAGGCAAGATAAGTACCTTTTGCTGAGAGCCAGAAATAAAGGTGCATGGAATGTGTAGCTAGCAGTAGGTGAATGAGACAGTAAGCAAGGAGGTGTGAAGAGCAACATCAGCCTGTTATACAGGGCTGTGAGAGAATAAGAAGTCTAGACTTTATCTCAAGGGCATTAAGAACCACTGCACTGAGGTCCACATGTTCTTAACAGCATCATTTTAAGAGTTCAATGGTTTCTCTGGCTTCAATGAAAACAGACTTATCATAAATGCTTTCTAACTCATGGCATTAAATTCTCTTTGGTACTGATAAAAATAAGATGGAATAAGCATGATAGGAAATATCGAAAAATTTTAAGAATCCATTCAATTAACTATCTGGATACTTACAAGCATCTGGTCACTCAATAAAGCAGATGGCTCAGGTCACAGGAGCACAGATGACCTTGAAGTTCATGTTAGGTTTTCATCCCAAAGTTCTAAATATATACATGGCTCTTAAAAATAACTCAATTACTAATATATCAATAATTTTACATTACTGTACATGTCTATATAATTATTATTGTCCTAAATACTTCATGTGTATCATTGCATTAAAATTATTGCTATAGATAGTGTTATCTTATTTAACAAGTGAAGAAAAAGGCTAAAAGAGATAGAATACATTCTTCCAGGCACACTGCCAGTAGATGAGCCAACACACTGAGGCATTCTATCTCTAGAGTGTGCATTCTCAACGCTGACTGACATATCCTGTAAGAACTGTCCTTCCTTCTTTGTCTGTTGAACCAAATGTTTGTTCTCTCTCTCTCTCTCTCTGAATGGGGGTAGCTCTCCAAGACCTGGTCTCTGCTTGCAACATTAGGCTAACCCCATAGCTTTTTCTTATTATTTATTGGTAGAATTTCTTTTTATTTGATGGCTCTTTTTAACCTAGTGTATTTATTACTAGAATAATCACCGGAGAAACATGAACTTTCTTTTCGAGGTTTACCTTCACATCCCTCATCCCTATTCTTCCCTCCCTCCCTCCCTCCTTCTTACCTTTCTTCCTCTCTCCCTCCCCATTCCCTCCTTCCTTTCTACCTACCCCCTTCTGCTACTACCAGACCTAAATGCTCCTCCATTCTCATGGGATCTTTTTGGCAGAAAGGTTGGATTTATCCTGAATATGTCACTACACCTTTATTACCGAGAAAAATCCAAGCACATGAGAAGAGAAATCAAACCATGAAATAGAGTATTTACATCCCAAGGTGGTTGTGTATGTACATGTGTGTGTGTGTGTGTGTGTGTGTCATTATCTGTAATGTGAACATGGCAACTCTGATCATTATCCCTTCATGAGCAGGCTATTATGATGTTTGCATAGTTCCTTCCCAGAGTTGGTTCTTACACTACCATATCTAGGACACCACATGAGTAATTGTTATCCAGAATGACAGAGATCAGCCACCCTATCAGAACAATTAGGCTCTTGAGTTTTAATATACTTGTGCCAAAGTCAAGAATTCATGATGGTTTGGATGTGGATTATGCTGACATGACCTCCCCTACACAAAGAGGTTGACATTTCTTACCCGATATGTGAAATTACCTATGGGTAAACACAGATTATTTCACAGAGCTCAGTTTATGCTGTATTTTTCCTTTATCACTCTGAAGTTCCTAACAAATTTCTTCCACCAATATACCTACTATTCTGTTGTTTGTTTCAATACACAGCTTCTCCAGAGCCTCAGGCATGGCACTTCCAAATGTCAGCAGCTATTAACTCTGCACATTCATCTTTGTTTCCTTATTTCTCCGGAGAAGTCTGCATCTCCCAGAGGTGAGTCCACATGGCTTAACATAGCATAACGGAGTATGTGTGTGTTTGTGTGTGTGTTTGATGCACATTTTCAAAATAAGGCATTACAGCCAACTGTCTTAACTCTTATGTTTGCTTGTAAGCTGTTTTGGATATCTCATAGTGCCTAGCATAAAGCCTATACCTTGTTTATGATCAACATAAATCAAACTGCATTTGAAGATTATCTATCTATCCATTTGTCTATCTACCTGTCCTTCTATCCTTGTGTCCGTCCGTCTGTCCATCCATCCATCTATCCATTCATCCATTCATCCAAGTTTTCCAGGGGTTCTTTTTTTTATGGCAATGGTAAGCACATTTTAAGAATTAGACAATGCTGTATTTCAAAACTCAATACAAATACAACAAGAATGTCTTCAGTGAAGACTTCCAAATTTGGTTTCCCTAATTTTAATTTCTATTATTTTATAAATCCTATATGTGTTTAGATGCATATTTCTGTATGTGCTTATGCACAGAATTTTTACCATTAAACATGTGAGGGCAACATTTCTTCTGGCAGCCCAAATTTCTTGTTTCTCTATCCTCTGGCTAAATTCCATCTAAAATTTTTCATGTGTTTCACATGCAGTACATGTTCCAATCTGGGGCCCATATAACAAGGTACACTGACTTTTTGAGGCCTAAAAAGAAGTGTGTATGCGAGTGCATGAAGCAAACTAAAGACAGGGGAAGCAGAAGCCTGTTTTCCTGAATTAAAACCATAAAATAATTTCTAGTGTTTCACAACCATGCAGAAAACTACAATAGCGGCCAGTTCTAAAATGATCCCTGTCCTGGTATAGGGGAGCAAAAACTAGGTAACAGGCAGAAAGCTCATTGTACCACCACCTTTGTAGCCATCAGTATTTGAATCAATCCTATAGCCTCTTATTCATTCTCATTCTTGCACTAACATCAAACATCATAAAACACATAAAAATTAAAGCTTGGGGAGTGGTCTGAAATTTGTAAAATAATTTACAAATACATGATAATGTCATTATTATTTTTATATAGGAAAATACTTGCTTGAAAATGGAGATATCTCACGTGGAATTTGTCATACCACTCTTTAAAAATTACCATGGCAGTATAAGTTAGGTGAATTTTCTTTCTTTTATTCTGATCTATTAATAGTCCTTACCTTTTTGCAAAAACAGCTTTGTTTCTAGGGTCAACTGCAGAAATCTATTAGAAGTAGTTTGTGATCTGGCCCAGGGCTGTGGCATAGTAGGCTAAACCTCTGCCTGTAGCAAGGCATCCCATATGGGCACTAGTTCGATATCTGGCTGTTCCACTTTGGATACAGCTCCCTGCTAATGTACCTGGAGAAGCAGAAGAAAATGGCCCAAGTGCTTTGGGCTCCTGCACCCTCTTGAGACCAGAAGAAGCTCTTGGCTCATGTTTTTGGATTGACACAGCCCCAGCCATTGCGACCACTTGGGGAGTGAACAAGAAGATGGAAGACTTTTCTGTCTGTCTCTCCCTCTCTCTGTCTATAACTCTAACTCTCAAATACATAAATCTTTTTTTTTAAAAAAAGAAGTAGTTTGTGATAGACCCTTTATTGTTTTTTTTTTTTACATATTCTACACTTCAATTTTACTTATTTGTTCAAGAAGGCATTTTTTTCATATTTGAATCACTTAGGTTATCAAGGACTATGAGAAAGTTATATGAGCTCTATGTTTATGTGGTAATATGTAGAACATAACCAGCTCTCTTGAGTAGTCTGTTAGTAATAGTATTTGAGAGGAACTCAGGCAACTGGAAGAAATCAGTTTCTTATTAAAAATTCATGAACACATAAATAGAACACATACATAGAACCTGAGTAGTGATGTGGAGGATGTTAGAATTAAATCTAAAATATAAATTATGCATTTCAAAAGAAATACAGAGCAGTGTTTCTAAGAATATAACTTTTAAATTATATCTTTGTATACATCTTATTCAATACTTTAAAAAGTCAAATCAGTACATTTGTTATATAGCGATGATGCAAAACTGGCACCTATCTTTAAGCAAGGCAGTCTCCTTTGAAAATTGTATCATTAAACTGTTAGTTTGTTCATCAGATTATTCCTATTATGACAAGACATATCAGTCCAGCCTCCAGGAACCTGTGAAATAATTCATATGAAATTTTTCCAAGAATATTCCTTTGTATTGGAAGTGAAAATTTACCTTAATTATGAGGATCATTTTTTATTCTTTCCTGTTTTATATTTTTGAGGGCAGATGCACACTTACTGTTGTGCTGATCGACTACTTATTTTTTCCCAAAGACAAAATAGTAATGGGCCATAGTTGCCTAGTAGCTCCAGGGAGAAGATGTGTTTGGATCAAATTCTTCCAAATTTGACCAAAAGAGATCTATTTTATAAAAGTGTTTACTATCCCAGAGTATCAACAAGTTGTAAGGAGAATATGCAGTCAGGAACAATTGTGCTTTCTGTTTACTCAAAAACCTTCCGACTATCAGTAAAAGAAATGCTCTTGGCGGTCCTTACCTGCAATGCACAACCATTGGTCCTGCATCAGGAGGGTTACACGTTTTGACTCTCCGTAAGAAAGCCAGAAAAGGTGTAGGGTGTTCTGGCACGCCGTGATCAGGCCAGGCGGTGAACTGGAATTGTCTCACTTCTCTCTTCTCACTGGACCCATTCTGTGAAATAGGAACACAGGCTGAGGTCCTGCTTTCCTAGCCTCAGGTAGTGATGATGAATAACAGAAGCAGTAGCACGGAAATGTGCTATCTTAATTTCTTTCTCCCACCCTACAGACTTTAAGGAGACATACCTTTTGGAGAGAGAAACCCAAACCTATTCATAAATGACAGATATCTGATCAGGAAGATAAAATCCTTAGGTGGAAAGCACTGCATTTTTCAGGTGTCTTTGTTATATTTTACAGGAAGTGCTCTTGTGATATTTCACAGGAAGAACTAGTTCTTCTTCATCTATTCCTCATTTGCTGAAACTTCCGTTCAGAGCAAGAGTTTCATACTTACTGATAAATTGCCAGACAAGGAGAAGAACTGCTAAGTGATAATGGAAGAACTGTTTCATTCTTCACTGTTGCCAGTGGGATCAAGATTTAGGTAAAGCCTTAAGGGACTTGATTTCTCAAAAGAAGCCTGTTTGTTAATAATGGAGAGGGGAAAGGATGCCACAACGAAACAAAAAGCAAACCTTATAAAGTGCAAATGTTCGAACACAATATGTAGCCAACTCCACAGTATCGAGCAACGTCACTTGGACCAGTCCATGGGTTTCTGTGCCCCTGCTGGGCCAATACTGGTCACACTTCACCTACAAGACACAAGTGACACATTCAGGGCAGATGCTCATCAATTTCTCTACTAGCTTTACTTTTTAAGTTGCCGTTGAAGGAAAACAGCTTTTCTGCATTTCATTTTATGTTGATCTTTTTCTGGCATGCCTTCTTGTTATCCCAATACATGTAAATTACTGCTCTGATGCCAATATAAACCACATTTTTCAAACTGGTAGAATATTAAGCAGTAACAGATTCAATTTTCTTGGGGAAAAATAAGTTGCAGATTGTTTCTGAGTAAAATAAGGAGAGACATTCTTGAAACTTCAGAGTACTTGAAAAGCAAACACAAATTTGTTCTGGGATAGACGTTATGAATTGCATCAGGAAGAATATAGCTAGACATTTAAACTATATGGTAAGGTAGTTAGTGTTCATCCATCAAGATTTAAAAGGCATGAGCTACTTCATCTTTAGCTATCACAATTTCCAAGTGTGCTTTTATATAGAAAAGTAGAAATATGAAAATTTATCAAAGTATAAAAAACACAAGCATATTTTTAGAAAATGCAAGGTAAATGATATTTGTATCCAAAATAAATTAAACTTGCACTGTCTATGGGGGAAAGAGTTGTCTGTTTTTAAAAGCAGTCTCAGAGGGTCATACACTAGCAGGGCAAAGTTTAAATAATTTAAAACTCATTCAGGTTGAGATGAATAATCTGCAATTTCTATGTAGAGTGGAAAAAAGGCACATAAAAAGTATTCAGCCCAATTAGTTTAACACGCAACAAAGAATAATTCCAACTCCACAGTAAGCCTCAAATTTACTGAACATATCCTTTGGGCATTAAAAAGCATAATGAAAAATGACAAACACAGCACTACATTTTGTAGTAAGGCCATAGATCAGAATACATTTACCCTTTCTATCTCAGACTAAAAGAAAAATGGAAGTAATTCTTAACTGAAGCCGACTGAAATGCATTTCTCTAGGTGAAGAAGGTTCCAGAAACCATTTTATATCACAGTGCACACCTTCTTTTTCTTTGAAAAACAAAGAATTGAAAGTCATAATCTTTGAATTTAAGCAAAGACAATAAGGTGTTATTATTACAGGCACTAGAATTTTTTGGTCCAGTGAATAGGATTATTAGATAATTATTTGTTTTTATGTTTAACACAAATATTAGTAGCATTCCATGAACAATATTGTAATCATCTCTTTCACAGTGATAGCCTTGCTTACTTTGAAGGTTCAGGATCTTTCTTTGTTGATACTGGACCTTCTAAAATGGCAGTTTTATTCTACACACAGTTTTCAAGATAGGAAAAGCACTTTACATTTATAGGGTAAGTCCGTAATTGAATTTGCAGAGTTTGATTCTTGGGTCCTTTTCAACTGGAAGACCATACAAGCATCATGTTTTTTGACAAATTAACAAACAAAAGCAATTCACAGTCAGATGGAAAATGTGTGTGTTAGTAGGATTAAAAAAAAAAAAAAAAACTTTGTATGTTACCCAGATGCAAAGAATAGTCCTGTGCTCTAACTCAAACAAAGCAAGACAATTCCTTAAGGAGAATGTGGCTGAAGCATGGCCATAGAGCATCTCTGTATGTCTTCTGACCATCTATTAATATTCAGGTCATATCTGGCATATTTAGCAGACTACCACGTGAATAGAACTAGCACTACTTCAGTGGTCATGATTCTGGTGGGAGAAAGATCACAAAACTTAGACCACAGGTATTATTTTAAAACAAGAAATAGATTTCAAGTTGATGTCTTGCTGTTGAGGACAAAAATAACTTTGGAGGCTTCATATTGCAGTATTTGAGAGGATGCCAGCAACGCATTCAGTTAAAGAATCAAGAGAGAAATTTACACTTATTACTTAAGCTGTGCATCAGGACAGCAACTCTTTCAGATCCAAAACCAACTGATTGAATCACATCAGGGTAAATATCAGTATGGTATGCATAAAGACAGCATGATAATCCAGTCAAGTAGTCTAAAAGGTCAGTCCAGGGCAGTAAACCAACTCCAATATTATTTCAAAGCTAAGAACTGGTTATACTCACATCCTTTTTGTGAAGTAAGACAAAGGAAATAAACAAAGAAGACAGTACTTATAGAAAAAATCATTCCATTGTTTAATGTCTGTCAGCTACAAATTTGCATCCTGAAAATGTAAAAGTCCTAAAATGTTACTAATTAATCTTACACTTTTAGTAAGAAGTTTGAAACTGCAGCTATTACTGGTTTAGACTCTAACCACACTGGGGAAAACACACACACACACACACACACACAAAGAATCCCTGAGCATCACTATGTGAAAATTTCTAGCTAAAAGTAGAAAAAAATTGCTTTTGCACTCCATTTAAATAATGCACTTTAATCTTATTCTGTACCAAAAAGAAATGCTTTAAGATGTTTCAAACTAAAATGCAAAAATTGAGAGCAATTTTTAGTGAATATATTTAAACATTGCCATTTTCTCTTAGAAATATTTCTTAAAGGGAGCTTACAAAAAATACAAGGGCTTAGGTGTGCGGACCTGCGCATGGATGGTCTCAGCAGTGGGATTTTCCTGAACTTATCCGAAGAGCCACAGGAACACAGTTTTCCTTTTGCTAGCAAGGACCTCTGAAATTCCTTTCTCAAGCTCCCTGAGTAGGCTGTAGAAGTTTCATTTGATTTACTGACAAATATTATTTTAAGTCTTTCATTTTTAGCCATACACTAAAAAAAAATAAGATTTCAACATTACAGAGCCAGATGGGAATAAAGCGAGAAAAAGAAAACACAGAAGAAGAGAAATGATGTTTTTTTGCTAATTAGCTAATGCAAATAAACTAGCTCTATTTTCCTCTCTTGTAATGTTTTCCTGTGACAATAGCCCTTCTTCCACTTTTTTTTCCAGAAGGAAGATCTCATAAGGTACTTCTAGAGAGAACTGCTATTTGTTAGGCTTCACGCATAAAGCTGAGTGCAAGAGATGAGAAATGAAGGCTGCTCTCCTTGAGTGTGCAAGAATTAGAAAGCAGGAACTACTGAACACCAATACTGATACCTGCTTTTTTCTACTCGATTCTGAATTGGCTTTGAGAGGCCTTTGAGAATGATTTGTGGCAGGTGAGGCAGCGTCTCACAGAAGATCAGAATGCTTCTTGCTTCCCTATTTCCAGGACCAGAGCCTAACTGTGTAACTGCAAAAAGAAAACACATTTCCAGCACTGCAGCTTACTGTAAAGGATGGAAAATGACTCACCTAAAACACTTCACTCAATGGCTGGCACAGACAGGCATTCAAAAAGGACTAGCTATTATCATTGGTGAGATTATATCCTGGATTGTTCTGGTTGTTGTCTTGAACTACCCAATCATTGTAAATATGAAAAGAAAAGGGCATGGGATTAATCTCAGGCAGATCTTGAATCAAAACTTTCTAGGTGCAAAGCAAGGTCTCCTGCGGGGACCCGGAGGTGAACTGAGACACAGTCCCTACCCCAATCCAACAGTGTGGAGGCTTTTTAGATTTACTGGTTGTTTAAATTGGTAGCTGTGGAATTCTGAAGTCCTTTAATATAAAGGCCCTAGTCTGTTGTGAGAAGACAATGAGTGCCATAAACTCTGAGGTGGGAAAGCTGAGCAGAAGACTGTCAGTGGAGCTGTGGTTAAAAAAAAAAAAAAAAAAAAAAAAAGCCCAGTAACTTCACTGAATACCTAAATTGAATGAAACAGTTCAGATTTTGGCTAAATCAAGGATTGGGGGAGGAAGCATTTTTATTATCACAAAGTGATCACATTCATGTAATTTTCATTTTTTTCTATAATTATGGAAAGAGGAATAGGATGACCATTCGATAGATATGTGATAAGGAATTAATACATTTTTTTCACAACAATATCAAGAGAAAGTGAAGGGAACAATAAAATATACTTATACATAAAATATACTTAAATGTATTCAGAAGAAAATTTGTTGTTGGGAGTATCTGGTAGGTTTCCTGACTGTGCTCAGGAAAATGTTCTCATTCTAGGCCATTCTTATTACCATATGGCTTATCTTGGAAAGCATGGCACCTTGTAGGCACACAAGAAGTGGTGGCCAACTTCATAATCATACTGTGGTCTAGGTTGGCTTATTTTTAAATTTTCTACAACTTTATGAAAACAAAACCTCCTCTTTTCAATTTTATAAAGACATATTGAGCATGACTGCATGGAAAAGTATGAGAATTCCAACTGTAACAAACCAATACCTCCAAAGAACTCTAGTATCAGTGACATGAAATGCATTTGCTGCTTGAGACTTTGCAAAGTCTGGCTAGGGCCAGATTATTTAACCAAAGGAAGAATATGCAGGAAATAAAATGTGGGACTCCATAAATGTTACTAAAAGTGACTGTAAATCCCTCTTTAGTAAGCTTGGGCAGAGCAGTTGTTTAACAGTCAAGATTCTTCTACAACGAGTGGAGGACAAGTAAGAGATAACACAAATCAAAGTTTTTTGGGGGGAGTAAGGTATTATCGATACCCACTTATCAATACCCATTTAATAAGAGGCACTGAAACTAAAGAAATTTTCAAATAAGTCACAGGATATATTTCAGTGAACAGAAGAAACTCTATGCTTTTGCTAGCAAAATGTTTACTTCTACAGGTTACAATAACCCTTCTGGCTGTTTTTTGGGACACAGTTAGTACTTAATGTTCTACAATAAGGACAGAGATTATGTCATTGGTTATATTTTCTTTAGTGATAGTGTCATTCTCTTGCATTCAACTAATTTTTGGTCATATTCATTCCCAACTGGCAAAACAGTCTGGCTTATGTATTTCCCCACCTCAATTTATATATAATGACCACTGTTTGGTGGAGAACCAAGGGACAATGGGATACATGAAACATTTGACCATTAATGCAATAATAGCTACATATAATCATATATACAACCATGCAGCTGAAAAATATTAATCCCTAAACAAATTACATGTCATACAACTTCTTATCAGTTCATTACA